GGTTGGTGCACTCTTTCCAGGAGGAGTTTGGGTCTGGGATATGGCAGTTCACTGGGCTTTAGGAAGGAGTAGGAAATGCTCCTCTTTTGTGACCTGTTTTTGCACTACTTAATGTGGGTATTTTGGGACAAAAGCCAATCTGTTGGGTTTCCTAAGACGGTGCTGATGTGTCCGTCCCTTGTTCAGAGCGTGATCTCTGTCAGCCCTGAATCAGGTGAGTACTGAGGGCTGGTTCGGAGGTATATTGTGATTATTTGGTTATTGACGGGAAATAATGCAGCCTGCTTCAGGGGAAGTGGAAGAAACGAGAAAACGTTCTGTCCTGAGAGACCAGAACTCCCCTTCTTCTAATGATCCACTTCACTCGATGGCGGTTTGAGCTGCCTTGTGTCTAACTAAAATAGACATGGATGCTGCCTCCGTTCCCCAAGTTGTGGTGACGGTGAATTAGGATAATGAAAGCAGATGATACATTTAAGTGCGTCACGGAAGTGTGGGCAACTGGGCCCTACAGTAATTTAAAAATAAGTATGTATGGGATGAGATTAGCAAATTTGACAGTGCTCGGCTAAGCAGAAGGATCTGCCAGTTGCGAGCGGATCATTCCCAGTAAGACCTGCCAGCATAGCCGCGGGCTTCTCTTATGTACAGGGGGAAAAAACAGCACGTGGCTACTTTGATTGATTTTTGGACAGGAATTGCAGCAAGCAGATTTAATACAGACTGATATATATATATCCACACACATACCTCTTTTTTTTTAATTTTTTTTTCCCATGCTAGGAGACCGGGCACTGCCAGAGGAGGAAAAACCACTTGATTGCAGTACTCTGGCAGCTAATCTTCCCAGATGTCATCCAGTTAGATACTGGCATGTTGATTTAAAAAAACAAAAAACCAAAACAACAACAAAAAAAGAAAAGGTTTAAAATATTTTCTGTGCGAAAAAGAGTTGGAAAATATAGCGCAGAGGTGCAGACATCAATGAGCAGGAGCCTGGTGGGGATTCTGCCCGGGGTTTACTCCTCTTGGGTGTCTCTGCTTGGCTCTCCTCTCCTCTAGATGAGTCATGGACACTGTTACTGCAGCAACGCTGCTGCCAAGGAGGGGGATAAAGCTGTTGCCATGGTGCTGGATGGGCAGGAATTCTGCAGAAGGGAAAAACACTTAATAATTAACTCGCAGACAAACCCGGCTTCAGACTTTGCCTGCGTGCTGTAGGGAAGGTGTCCCGGGCTCCCAGGCGACCGCCAGCCTGTCCTGGTACAGCCCTCGTCATCGTGGAGAGCCGCTGGTCCAAGAGTGGCCGTGGGCCGAGGGAGGCGAAGCCCGGACTGCGGGAAGCCGTGCCCACTCCCGTCGACTTGTGTTTCGTGTGCGGTGGCTTGGAGTTGGGGAAGTTGTGGGGTGGGTTAAGGATTTGGGCTGGCCGATGCGGTAGGGTGGAAAGTCAGCATGTAATTGCGGGACATCTACCTGAGGATTGCTCGACGTTGGGGCTTGAGGCAAGGGGTTGGTTTAAGTATCTGTCCCGTTTCTGCTAAAGACGGAAAAGAAGATTTTGTGCAGTTCTTAGGCTATTTTGTCTAAGAGTAGGCTTGCATTTTCTCATGGTAGTAAAAAGGTTGAGCTTTTATCTTGCTCTTCCTCATAGTGCGGTGTTGGTGTTAGTTTTCCTTTGTGCTGCCTTGACAGAAAGGGAAACCTCCCTGCCAAATGCCAGAGATGCTTCCTGCACAGCCCTCTCTCTTTAAGCCCATTCCTTTGAGTGTTTGCCATATGGTGGTGACGATGGAGAGCAGTAAAACTGTCCGGAGAGTACGTTTAACACCTCTACCCCTTGGACCAGCGAGTGCTCGGCAGTTCTCCAAGTTAAGGAAGTTTACAAAGAATAACAGGCTTCTAGGAAAGTGCGGGCACTAGATGTGCGCATCACTCTCGGCAGCGCCGAGGAACAATCTTCCAGAGCGAGCTTTGTCTCCCACCACGGAGGGACCTAATTTCTGTGATTACAGATCCCAGTGCGAGAGCCGTGCTGTCTGGGAGCGGGAACGCGTGGCGTTTGGGATGTGCTCTTGCTGCACCGCAGTCGTCTTTTATTAACTCCCCATCTACGGGATGTGCTAACCGCTGCCCGTGAGCCGTAACCCCCAACTGTAACGTCGGTGGCCGATGCGTTATACCCGCGCTGAAGTAGGGGTTGTAACGGGCAGGTGTGATCTCTGTTGTTTTCTGTGTGATCTCTAACTTGTTTTCATACAGTCGACGGATAAGCCTTAGGTGGATGGGTGTGTTTGAATTTTATAAATAGGAAAGCAGGCAGAAATAAGTGATTAACTCAGACTGGCAGCAGGAAGTAGGAGCCGAGAAAGGGCTTAGAATGAGGATGTTCAAGTATTACTTTCACCTTAGAACCTCCAAACCAAGTCTCCTGCGACGCGCGGGTGCACAGTTGTTCAAAAGCTGACCTGGCTTGCGCACGTACATTTATTTAGAGTTGTCAGGATAAAGTAAGTTATTGGAGCTGCTTTTATGTGTCGTGAAAATGAAGTATCGCTGCCCTTTCCCCAGAGAGGAGGCTGATACCCATGCTGGGAAGCTCTCTCGGGGCACAGCAAGGCTGAAGCCCCAAACAGCGACTTTCTCCCAAAAATACCGACTCCGGTGGAAGCCGGGAAGGGCTCTGTTCCCAGACCGGTTTCCTAATACACGGGAAAGGCTTCACCACCATTTTCAGTGCCGAGGAAAAGAAGTCCTTGGATGGGACATGGTGGAGAGAAGAGGCCGTCCATTCTCTGCGGAGGGCTGGAGATAGGGGAGGTGGCACAAGGGAGGACACTCCTGTTCCAGTTAAGTGCAGGCTTAGCGCTCACAAAGCTGCTTAGCACTCGCGTTCTGCCAGAGGGCAGTTTTTAAAAGAGGCAAAGCCTCTTACGCCGAAAAGGCTGGGATTTGATGGAGGTGCTGACTATTCTCAATACCTGGAGGGGAAATGGGTGCAGAAGGTGCTGGCACAGGTTTGGAAAAAGGTGATGACCTCTGAGTGCTGGAGGAGAGACGCCTTTTCCCTGTCCCATCCAAGCAGGGCTGTGTGGGTGTTCAGGACTGGGACTGTCTTCGTTGACATCAGTTTTGGATTAAACGAAGTAGTAGTAGGTAGTGGAGATGCATTTGAGCTGCTCTCGCTGCTGGTTGTCACCTCCAAAGAGTAATACCTGGTAGTTCTGGGCAGCCTTCATTTCAATTTGCTTTCCTCTGCAGATTATTTGTGCACTCCAGAGGAAAATGTTTACAAGATAGACTTCACCAGGTTCAAAATCCGGGACATGGAGTCTGGCACGGTCTTGTTCGAAATCACCAAACCAGCAGCTTCAGGTGAGCGCACTCACTAAACACTGTTTTCATGCACAAACCAGTGCTAGTGTCCGCTTCCTTTTGCCTTTTCCCACTCCTTTTACTCAATACGTGTCCTCAAAAATAGGAGATGCTCTCGGCTGCAAGAGCGGAGTCCCAACTTGCAGCAGAAAGACTATTCAGGTGTCCCTCTGTACCGACACAGTGAACAGACCTCGTTGCTGCTGTGTTCTTATGATTGCCATCTGTGATGAGAAAGGACAGATGGATGTCGTAAACAGAAGCAGAGGAGGAGGAGGAGGAGGTCACTGGGTGCTCCTCTCTTGGCTGCTCATCAGCTAGAGTCCCCCTGTACATCGTTTAACTGTTAGTCTAACATCTTTCACTCAGGAGTCAGGAAAACGGTGTTTCCAAAAGGGAGAAACTAGACAAATTAGACAAACTGAAAATCTGCATTTTTTTTTTTCCTTCATAATTTTTAGGTGTTACTCATAACTACCAAAGCGTTACCTGTTGCCAGTTGTAATAAAACCCCGGGGCAACTGCTCTTTTCCTGATCAAGCACTCTTTTTTTCAATCTTCCCCATCTCCCTGCAGGGGAGAGGGAGTTTTCTGTAGCTCAGCGGTAGCAAACCAGACGTGCTTAGGTGAGTCACACCGCGATCCTGAGTGGGAGGTGGGAGCAGTAAGTCACTCCAGAAGACAGGATGAGGGGTTACAGTTGTAAACTGGAAGAGGGAAGATTTAGATTAGATATTAGGAAGAAATTGTTGACTGTGAGGGCGGTGAGCCCCTGGGGCAGGTTGCCCAGAGAAGCTGTGGCTGCCCCATCCCTGGAGGTGTTCAAGGCCAGGTTGGACGGGGCTTGGAGCAACCTGGGCTGGGGGGAGGTGTCCCTGCCCAGGGCAGGGGGGGTGTGACTAGATGATCTTCAAGGTCCCTTCCAACCCAAAACCGTTCTATGATTCTATAAGAAGAACATTAAACCAAAGGGCCCCTCTTGTAATAGTCTATCCCTGAGTAACCAGTAGTGGATGCCTTGGAGAGGGTAGGAGAGGGTGAGCACATCATCAGGCTTTCTCAGAATAGTTTCCTGGCTTATACGACTCGATAAAGTGTGATCGCAAGTATTTTCACTGGGTTTCTGTTTCTCAGACGACTGTGACGGAGCTTTGCTTTGCGCTTTTCCAGAACGTGAACACAATGACAAGAAGGACATCGACCCCAATGCTGGACGGTTTGTACGCTATCAGTTTACCCCAGCTTTTCTTAGACTTCGGCAAGTGGGAGCCACGTAAGTAATTGCTCCTGTGCTACTTTCTCTAGTACAGGAAACAACTGCAATCTTTTAATTTAAAAGTGGGTCTTTCTTGTTGATCCTGTCAGGAAGGTGATTTAATAGGGATCTTTTGTTATTATGAGGATCACCAAACATCGTTTCTGGATGCTTTCCTTTCTCTGTCCCTTTAGCTTGTTTATTTACCTCAGGAGCAGGCATGGCATTGAAGAGATTGACGCTAAAAGAGGCAAAATAAGGTGGACACACTACCCAGATATTCCAACTCTTTTCTGCACATTATAGTTTGTTTATCAGAGGCTCTGCCAGCTTCGGAAGTTGTATCTGCAGCCTTCCACATCGCGTTCCTCCCCCCAAAAAACATTAATCTGAGTAATCGCGCAGAATGTTTGACGTTTTATGTACCAAAATGATCTTTGAGGTGCCTGGTAGTACTGTGTGCATCCATCAATGAACCACACCAAAACGTGGCACCTGAAGTATCTGTAAAGCTTTAGGCCAAAGTTATGGCTACGGTGATACAGGGGACAGAGTGTATTGTGTCTTTAGTAAAAGTTAGTAGTGATTACTACTAACTACACTATTACTACTAACTAGAGATTGATCCGCAGTTAAATACGGTGCATGGGAAGGTGCAATTTTCGGCTTGTGTTTCCTCTTCCGACCCTCCAAAGAGCAGGCTGGTGGGCTGCTTTGTTTTTACTGGGAGGTTTTAGGAGGTTATTGGGTAATAGCCTGGCGGGTCCTTTCTTGTCTTTGTTTTTCTAATCAAGAGCTCTGTGCCCATTGCTACGATGTCATTAAGTCCATAACACTATGATGGAGCGTCAGTTACAGTTTCCAGCACAAACCTCTTTGTTTCAGGCATACAGAAATCATTAGTTTGGATTCGTGTAGGAGCGCAGTTTGATAGATCCCTTCAGCAGCAAATGTGTATTTCATAAGAACAGATGTACAGTAGCTTTTCTTAACAAGGAAAAAAAGTATTTTCAAGAGCTTGATTAAAATTCAGCATTTGGTTATCATGCAAAAGAACTAAATTTTTTTGTCAGAGAATACATTTAGAGCAAGGTTACACATCACCGTTTCCTGCTAATCTTAAAGACGTGCACCTTTTAGATTTTGTTTTGGAAGAAAAATTGAAATTATGTACCAATGAGCACCTCTTTGGCCACTATTTGGTTAAAATGGTAAATACCCAACTTTTGATTTGTGCCAAACAAGTAACAGTGTCTTCCTGGCTTACTCATAGCATATCGTGTGTAACTAATACCTATCTCTCTCCAAAAGCTCATGCTTCTTGGTAAGAGAAACTTGAGCATGGTGCTGGCTGAAACCTGTCCCCCTTTATCACTTACAAAGCAGGAACAGAAGTAAGACCTTTTTCTGTAGATCTGGCCTTTTTTTTAGTACCCCCCAGAAGAATTCAAATAAATTATATAAAGAATCCAATGCAATAAGGGACATCTAGTGAGGTGCCTATCTGGTATAGTTGTCTTCACTGAAGGTGAGGTTAAGACTGTAAAATGGTCTTGCGTGACCTTTTTTTTTGAGTTAAAAGAACCAAAATACAGTATAATCTATGATTAGAAATGCTGTGTTGTGTCCCTGCAGCATGTTCCGAGAAAAAGGGGAAATGATAATTGGGTTAGTACCATTGCTTTAGATTTTTGGCTTTTTTTAGAAGAGCTCTCCTCTACCTTTCAGGAATGGTTGAAAATCTCCCTTAAGGAAGAAAGCTCATCTCAATCTCATCCTTCTTTTTCAGGGTGGAATTCACAGTAGGGGACAAACCCATTAATAACTTCCGGATGATTGAGAGGCACTACTTCCGCGATCAGTTGCTGAAGAGTTTTGATTTTGAATTTGGGTTCTGCATCCCCAGCAGTAAAAATACTTGTGAGCACATCTATGAATTCCCCCAGCTCTCTGAGGATCTCAGTAAGCTCTCTTTAATTACTGGGTTACCGCACAGTGATGTTAATCTGAGGTGTTTTGAAGAAGCCCTTTCTTAAGAGCTGTCTGTATAAAGTGGGTGGGGTAGAATACTTCCAGGTAGTTTTGTATCTGTGTTAACACAGGTTTTGTTTTCTAGTAGCATGTATCTTGTCACCCACCAGGCAGTTGCGTGCTTTTTTTTTTCTTTTTTTTTTTTAATTCATAAAAGGAAAGCTTCTCAGTATCAGGGAGAAAAAAAGATGATTGTGTTATAAACCAAAAGAAAAACTAGGATTAAAAAGACATACAATAAATGTTGTGTTCTGTTTGATGTGTATGTTGATAGCTCGAGAGGTTTTAGTTTTAGTATGAACGTAACTTTTATTTCCTCTCCTCTCTCCCAAGATAAAATAGCAGGAGTATTAGATCTGTGTGAAATTATATTCTTCACAACCCCTAATCATGTCTGTCAGCACTAATATTACAGTCTGTGGAAAACACAGTGATGCGCTGCTGCACTGTCACACCAGAACAAATTTCTTTGGAGTTCGCTGTTTTAGCACATTTAAAAAAAAAAACCACCAAAAACCCAAAAAAAAAACCTCAAAAGCCCCGAACTCAGGTGTGATATTGTTTGGAGGTTAGGCATAACACTTACACTTTGAGTAGTGCCTTAAGGTATTTGGATTATGTTTGAGTTCTTTAAAAAAGATACTGTCCATGAGTGGTTTGGGTTGGTTCCTGTGTTGGTTGTGGTTTCTCACTTGAGAGTTCGCCGCTATCTGAGCAACGCCATTAAACGTAACCGTGACCCAGTGCGGAGCGTTGTCTCAGGAGGGCTACACGATTAATTTGAATTTCTTTATTCTTTTTTTCCCCCCCTGCAGTTCGAGAGATGATCCTTCATCCGTACGAGACACAGTCGGACAGTTTCTACTTTGTAGACAACAAGCTTGTGATGCACAACAAGGCAGATTATTCCTACAGTGGAGGACCTTGAGCACAGGATGGACAGCCCACCTGCGCTGGCCTTCCCTTTCCTAGCGACGTCGTCAGGGATACCAACACCTTCCGTTCAGTTGCCTACAGCGCCAACTGGACAAGGATCCACAAACCAAGGACTCTTTGCCACAGTAGGAGTTTCATGACTAAATTTGCCAGTCTCGTCTTTTCCTGACCTTTGAAGAAGACCCATTTCTTCAGAACTCTGAGCAGTTCTACAATGGTAAATGATCTTTGGATACCACTTCCCTAAGTTCTTTAAGCGTCTGCTTTGAAAATGGCCTTGTGGGACCTTGGGGGATTTTGCCCTAATTCTGTGGATTTGTGTTCTTGCCCTCAAGTATCTTTTAGGACGTGATCGCTTTCTCAAAGGATGTAATCTGAGAAACCACAGGAGTGGATGGGATGCAAATGCAGAGTTTTGTTTGTTTGTTTCTCTTTGCGGATGCTTCAAAGGCATGGCCAATTTAACTTGTACATCCAGTTGAAAATGTCAAGCGTAACATCTCACAAAAGCAAGTTTCATCTTTAGATTAGTTCTCCAAATAAGTACCTCATCCCTTAGTTTTCTTGCTTCTATGTAATATTCTGTTTAATCTTGGAAACACTGAAACTCGCAGTGAAGACCGTAATTCAACGACAGAGCTGTTTTTAAGCGGGTACTATCCTTTTACATTTCAGATGAAGGCAAAATAGCATTGAGGGTCTATGAACCTCCACAAGCATTTTCCATTAATTTCAGTTTTTGCAAAGTGATTGCAGAATAATCAGGAAAAATCGAAGGATTTTAGCTTTATTTAATACTTTTACATATCTAACATTCAGCCTATTTGTGCTATACGTTTTCCATGTCTGTTTTCTTTCCTCTCTGCTCAATACTAAGATAAGGGCTTCAGCACTGCTTGTTAGAGCAAGGCTTTCATTTGTCTAGGGCAGTTGGAGAGTGTGGAATTTCCAGTTTTCCATTTGTATCTGAATTGGAAGAATGTTACGACAGTGTTTTCCCGTTGTTCAAAATGTTTCGCATCGGATATTAACGCAGGTGAAAGAGTAAGTCTCATAACGTGGGACTTGAAGGCACAGCGAAAATTTAGCAAAAGCTTCTCTTCAGGCTCCGCAAGAAGTTTCAGACCAATTTTGCCCAAGTTTCTCGGCGCGTGCTGCTTAGAAAAATAGACGTGCAAAGAATTAGCAGCATCAAAAGGGTAAATTAGTGTACGCAAAACAAAGCCTGAGAAGGCTGCGTGGGGTAGCCTGTTGTCATGAAACCCTTACTCTGAAGGTCAGTTCACTGATACTTTAAAAGAAAAAAATAAAAGGCAGTTGTGGTTTGTAGATATTTCTATAAATACTTGATGTCTCCATGTCTAATTCTGTGAGTTTAAGTGGAACATTATATGTTAGCCTCAGATAGGTGTGATTGTAATAATTTTTATAAAATCCCATTTCCCGTCGTGGTTAACATCTTTCTAGTCGCAGCCTGAGTCAAACAGAACTACAAATGGTTCCAAGTGGAGCCGTCTGCCTGAGAACAGGGAGGTTTTGTGCTCTTATTGGGGTTGTGGTCACTATTAAATGCGTTACCATTTGTGTTCGGCTGGGCTTGCTTTGCTTCTGAAAGAGGATTCGGTTTTCTAAGGAAAATGCAGTGAGTTTAGGTTAAAGCACAGAATTTTTTATTAAGAATGATAGCTAAGAAAGTACCTAAAGTTCACTGATTTTACACAACTAATATCTTGTAGTAATTATTATCGCAATGAGACTTGTATTTGTCACTGGTTTTCGTCTCTAGTGTATTAAATCATAGTTAGCCTACGGCTGACTTACCTCTTTGAGAGTTACAATTTCCTCATTATTTGTACGACGCTTCGAGCTACCGATCATTGAGTTTTATAGCACAATAATTACGAAAGGTGAAAATAGTTTCAAAAAGTCTAGGACTCCCCCCACCCCTTTTTTTTTTTTTTCATCAGGGCCATTAAACTATCAATATATTCAGTGACTTTTTTGCAAGTTTAAGTATTTATGAATTTGAAGAATTATGAATTTATGAATTGCAACTCTTGGAGGAGAAAATACACGGATTTGAAGACAGAAGAGAGTGCGTGTGTCTATAACCAGCACCCTGTACAGGTTTTTTTGGGGTGTCTTTCAACTCTCAACTGCCGTTCGTAACAATCACTTCTGTTCGTCAGGTTTTTTTTTAAAAAGACTTCTACCCACAGTGCTTGCCCAGGACTGCCAGTCAAACATTTGAAAATGTACGTCTGGGTATATTTGGGTGAGAGCGGCTGTACTTTGGTACAGACTCTGGTCCCTTGTGGCTTACGGGAGTGAGGATCCTCTCCGTAGAGCACATCACTGTCCGCTGAGCTGAAATAACGTGTTCTGCTCCTTTTTTTTTTTGTGTTGAGCTACCTCCTTTTAAGACTTTAGACTTCAAAACCAAAAGTATTCCCATGAAAATATTACTGTAATCAACGCAAACGTGAGCAGCAGAGATGCCCCTTTGAAAGAGAACCTGGAGAAAGTGACCGTCTTCCCAATAGTGGGGGGACTATTGGTAGTCAATAGTGAACGGACTTTCTGATGCTCTGCATTTTGTGGTAGGTTTGGGGTTACACATCAGAGGATGAACTATCCCCTATTGATCTCCTCAATTCTGCTAATTGTTCAGATAATTCAGGTTCTCTGGGTAATCCCTTCAGGCGAACAGGAAACTTAGTGTGAATCATAGCGGAGATATTTTACCGAGTGAATTTGTTGTCTTCTAGTATCAGGAATACTTTAAAATAGAAAGACAAATGGGACATTTGCAATAAATTAAATATCAGGATATTTTAGCTTTGGCTTTTCAGTTTGAGGAGTTTTGCTTTTTTTCCAAGTCCTCACGGTTTTGCTACGAATAACAAGTTCTGATTCTCAAACCGAGGCGAATAACAAAACTTTCTGTGGGAAGTGTTCTGTATCGCACTGCAGCGGTTACCACCGTTATCTCCCTGTTTCTCTTGGAAACACTTTGTTGGCATTTCTTTAAGGTCATCGACATCCCCGATGTGATGTTTGGGACCATGTGGGAGTCGCTGCCCAAGGGAGAGGTTCCGTTCCTTTTCTACCTGTTCCCGCAGCACTATCATGTGTAGTGTTGACGTGAGACATGATATTGTTGCACACAAACAGCACCAGAAGAGCGCTTCTTCAAAAGCTTTTGCAGTAAAGTTGCTGTTCTAATGCCACTTCTGCATTTTTTTTTTTTTTTTGCATTAAAACTATGTGGAAAATTTAATGTTAAGGACCACACTCTGTACAGCGCTGAACAACTTCGACGTTCATCTGGGAGGGAGCCGAGAGCTCCCAGGGCAGTCGTAAAATGAAACCCACATCCCCCCCCCCTTAAATTGGCAGGTGATTCTTATTATAAAGCAGTCAAAAATCAAATCTTAACAGCATTGTTCACAGGAGAATTTTAGTCTCCTTGACTAGTTATTATTTTGTATTTTAATATTAATCATTATTGGGTTTACTTTGGAAGTTTATCTACAAAATCACCAAATATTGGCTCTGGAAAAAGAATTCTCGTAATTTTTTTTCTTTGGTTTCATTAAAAAAAATATTTTAATTATCTGTTTTAACGAGCCAGTCTGGAAATTCGGGGTCTGACTTTCTGAAAGTGAAAGAAAACATCTAAGCGCTAACCAAGATTACCTGCTAATAATGACGAGCGGTTTCCTGTCATAAGACAGGATTATGTGTGTGCTTTACAGAGTGAATTAGTCTTGGAAGAAGAAACTAAGTCTCTGTGAGTGCTAATAGTGACATAATTTTTCTGAGAGACAAGGAAATTATAACTCAACACATTCTTTCACTTTCTCAATCTTGGATGCCTTTAAACTTCAGTTTTTTTAATGAAAAGCAGCAGTAATACATTTGTGGTTAACTGCTGTGCTGCACAGCCTGAGAATTCCTGGGCTTTAGTGGCAAAAAGAGAACAGTTTATTTTTAAAATTAACATATCAAGTCTAAGTGTGGTTTAAATTCCAGAAACTTTGTTCTCAGAGCAGTGACAAAAGCCAAAATTGTTTCTGTGAATGTGTCCGTTATGTGGTGACATTTATGAAATAACAATAATCCACTCAGAAGAATTACTTTTTTTTTTTTTTAATGTAGAAAGCGCAAGGTTTGAAAGCAGCGTGTCGGGGTTCAGTTCTCACTCGTAATCTCTCTCTCCGTCGTGTTTTTGAGCAGGTGGGTACGGCAGCTCCGTTTGCCACCGCCGTCCTCCCGTTGAGTTTCCTTTTAAAAACTTGCGGAGGGCGTCAAAGCGGCGGGTGGCTGCGGGGCAAACGTTGCAGGCTACCAAGTTCCAAATTCCTTCATTGTGAGCAAAAAGACTATTAAAAGTCTACCGAGAAATAGTGCTACAGGTTGACCCATAAGAACTAAATTCCAATTTTTATGACAAACATTAAAGGGAACTCCTGTTCGTGTAAAGATTGTTTGAGGTAAGAAAATGCTGATACCCAGCTCTTGTACTAAATAAGTATGATAAAAGTGTTCTATTAATTATTCATAACCTGGAAAAAAATATGGTTAACAGCTCAATTTTAATTAGATCTGGTTAGGAATGAAACTATAGAGATTATTGCTATCCCTTAATGGGGGGTCGGGGGGAGAGCATCTAGAATATGGCACAAAAGCCGGGCAGGTTTACAGGCACTGGCTCTAGGGGTGAAAGTTGTCTGTGGGGAAACGAAATGAGGGAGAGGGACAAGGAGAGGAGAAGAGTTAATTTCAGCTCACTGGAACCAAGATGGTTAAGGCCGTGGTAAGGGTAAACGCTTTTTCTCTTGAGTTTGAGATCGCTGGTACCTTCTGTCAGCCGCTCTTTTCCGTACCCCCGCTTGGCGCAGATGCTCCGCTACGAGTCGGATGTCCGCTCTCGCTGACAGCTCGTGTCATTTTCTGAACCTGGCAGTGTATTTGAGGAGCGCGATGCTC